CCGGGTTGGGGGGGGGGGGGGCATTAAAAGCCGCAGTCGCGGAATGGGCCGACTTCCGCTGGTGCAGAAGACGAGCCTTCCCTGCAGACCTCACGCGTCAAAGACCCTGGAGAAGGAGGTTAGGGCAGCTGCCTGCCGAGAAGCGACCAAAGACGGCCCGGCGCGAACGGCGAAGAGGGGGCGGTGGATGGGCGGGCGAAGTCCTCACTGACGGCTCCAAAAGGCTGCTCGGTCTCGAACCGGGATCGCGTCGGAGCTGTTCCCAGATGCGCGCCTTTCCCGAGCGGAGCGTCGCAAGCGCGGCCCCAGAGACGGAGGAGCCCGCGCGGGACCCCGAGAGACCCAAGGGCACCAGAGAGACACACACCCCCCCGCAGAGACCCTTCCTCCCCCGTCGCGGCGGGTACCTTGGGCGGCCTGATCTTGCAGATGCCGGTTTTCTCGGCCAAGGGTCGGATGCGGCCGATGAAGCCGAGCGGGTCGCTGAATTCCTCCCAGCTGGGCTCGAAGACGGGGCACTCGGGCGGAGGCACGAACTCTGCCACGTACTGAGCCCCGGCAGGGCCGTCGTCGTCCCCCGACATGGCGGCGGCGCCGCCGAGGCCGCTGCAGTTGCTGCTGCCGCCGCCGCCTCAGGACCCGGGAGGGAGCGGACGAGGCTGGAGGCGGGGGGGGGGGGGGGGGAGAAGGCGGAGAAGGGACAGCGGCTCAGCGATGGGCCGGGGGGCGGAGGAGCATCCCGGTGGCCAGCGGGGAGCAGGCCCGTCGCGAGGCCGCCCCTCAGAAACGGCCGCGGAGCTCTCGTCGCCGCCGCAGCCGAAGGGCCTCCCGTTTGTTTTTGTTTCCTCCTCCTCCTCCCCCCCTTCGGTGTAGTTTGTTGTTTTTTTTCCTCTCCCCCTTTCCTTTTCCTCCCCTTCTTCAGACTCTCCGGAAGTGACGCGTATCAGTTAAAAACCCTTATCTTGCGGAAGTTCGAATGAAAATATCCTTCCGCTGGAGATTTAAATGGCGGCGGGGGGGGCAAAATAGTCCCGCCGTCCATCCCTCCGGTTAAAGGCGCTCTCCTCTCTGTCAGGAGCTCAGTCACAGACCATCAGATCTCGCGACGCGTGTCCCCTTTCAACCCCCGCCCTGTGACGAGAAGCCGAGGCGAAACTCATAACGGTCGCAACGGCCACAATGGAGAGCAGCTGAGCTGAGGCCGCGGAGGAATGTCAGTTTGTGTGTTACGTCCTAGTGCAGAGAACTTCCGGTGCCGACAATCCGTTTCCACTCTTCTAGGCCTTGTAATGTGTGTGAGAACGAATGGGACCGCCCCTTCCCATAGAATCCTCGCAGAGCCCCGCCTTCGTCCTCCCTCCCCCTTGCCGAAGACGCCTCGTCGTCTCTCGATAGCTCCCCCTCCCCCTAGCCCAACACCTGGGTTCTTCAGCCCACTACCGATTCTCGCAGCACCCCTGACCCCCCCCTCCTTCCGCACTCCCAACGGACCCCGCCCACTCCCCGTAACCAAAGGAACCCTCCCACCTAACCGCCTCACCACAAGTTCCTTGACCCCCTCACAGCCCTTCAGAAAACAACCTTTGGGATTCGCCCTCTGAGCCCCACGGCGGTTTTTAAAGTAATTATGAAAGAACCATCCTCAAAGCTTCGCATTGCCTTGTCAGTAAACAAGCCTGACACATTCTATATATAAGTTCCGGCACCCCTTTTTCCAAAAAAATCATATGATATTGTTTTAACCTGGCACTTGTGCCCTGTAAGCCGCCCTGAACCTTCGGGGTAGGGCGGGGTATAAATTTAAATATAAATAAATAAATAAATAAAAGCCCTGTGTGTTCGCATTTCAAGGCTCTAGCTTGATCCTGTGCCTTTATGTTGCTGTCCAGAAATGAGCGTGGGGTGGGGAACTTGGAGGTTTCAAAGGCATGCAGATTGAATGTTACTTCGCAGGTGTAGCTGCTGTTATCGATACATGAGCAATGGCTGGATTTAAAAACTGGCAGTAAAAGGAATCGGGGGGGGGGGTGGAAATCAGTAATTAGATGCTCAGTCCTCACAGTAACCACTGAAGCGAAAATACATGGACATCTGTTTGAATATTATGCCCACACTCCATACGGATGCCTCTCAGGGTCGTAACCAGCCTTTGCTTTGTGGATGGTGGCAGCCAGAAGCTTGTGTCCCTGTAAGATAACATCCTCTCCCCACCCACGCACCGGGTTACCCCATATGAAATAATATACACACTACTAATTCTGCCATCAATCACTAACAACCTGTTCAAGATATCTTTTGAAAGAGCAGAATACAAGCCACCTACCCTTTAATCTCTCTTCAATTGCTCTTATTGTGTGGACAAAAAGGGATTACAGATCTGCTTTTTCCAGCCTGCTCTAGGACAAGGAAATACCAAAACTTTTGACAGACAAGCATTAAAAAGGCGATTTTCCATCCAATTCCAGCATAATATAGAAGTGTGGTCCTGCCATATACATATCATCACACCCTTTTAATCCTAATGAATTATTATAGAATACCTAACTCTGTTGCAATTTTGCCAAATGTTTAGGAGTACACTCTAAACAGCATGGAAAGCAACATACCGTAGCACACTATTCTTTAGCGTAATTTTTTATTTTTCCAAGACAAGCATAACATAAAATGAGGGTATCACCTCCTTAAAAGTTCCTTATTTACAATCTCACACGTTAGCCAAAAATTAATTTGTATATTTCACCTTGTATCACTGTATATTTCTTCTGCAAATACAAATATATTTGTATATTTCACCTTGTATCACTGTATATTTCTTTTGCAAATACATAGAAATAGAGTTTTATATATCCTAAAAAGAAAGTGTCTTATGTCTGTTATTTTAGCAAAGGATGAGATGGTTAGACAGTGTCATAGATGCAACGAACATGAAATTGAGCAAACTTCAGAGGACGGTGGAAGACAGGAAGGCCTGGTGGAATCTAGTCCATGGGGTCGCGAAGAGTCAGACTCGACTGTGCGACTGAACAACAACAAAAACCTTCCATCCATTTATAAAATCTTGACCAAGTGCTTTAAAATTTTTCCTCATGTTGTCCTTTTAAGATTAAAGATAGTTTGTCTATTTCAGCTGTTTACAAGTTCTTCTCTTGAGGGTACTTCCTGTCTTCTCCAATATTTAGCATAGCATATTCTTGCCACTGTTGTTACATGTATTATAAGATACAGATCTTGTTTATTACAGGTTTCTGGTATAATATTCAACAAAAATAATTCAGGTACAAAAGGGATATAGGCCTTTTTAACATTTTTTGTAAAATTTCATGGATCCAAGACCACTATTTTTTCACTTCATCACATAACCACCACATATAGAAAAAGGACCCAGTATTGTTTTGACATTTCCAACATATATTTGATAAGTTAAGGTAAATCTTTGCTAATTTATCT